TCTTTACTTAGTATTAGTAAATATGGCTGAAAGACCAATTTAGGTCTTTCAGCCTTTTGGTAGATAGCTCCCTGATACCGTGGGAATTAGGGGGTCCCTAAATACTAATAAGGGGGGACCTAATGTCCTCCCCCTGGCCCCCTACTCGAGGTATAGCGAGTAGGGGCATAATTTACTAATATTAAGTAATCTTTACTTAGTATTAGTAAATTTGGCTGAAAGACCAATTTAGGTCTCTCGGCCTTTTAGTAGATAGCTCCCTGATACCGTGGGAATTAGGGAGTTATCTACTTATTCATTCCTGTCATTACATTGACAGGCTAAGTAACTTACATTTTATATGAATGTGTGTTACTTGATTGTTGTAAGTGTTGCAAATGCTTACAGCTGAATCCTGGCTATGTTTGTATACTTTTTATTTAAAATTGTATACAATGTAACATTCTTCTTCTTTCACTGGGTAAGTATATTAGTACTTAGGCAATACTGTGCTTCGGAACTTCGTCACTTTGACACTTCGGAACTTCGGCAACTTCGGCACTTCGGAACTTCGACACTTCAGAAATTCGGTAATTTATGAACTTCGAGACCTCGGCAATTCGGACATTCGGACATTCGGAAGTACCTGAATATCAGAGTTGCCTGAAATTCGTCCGAATTCATATTCGGACTGAAACTAATTGCACATGTCTACCATAAAATCAGGCTGTGTGGTCGGTCTATTTCAGGGGTGTAAAACATACTAAAAATAACAAATGAATTGTTTGTGCGTACGTTGATCCCATGTATCTTGTTCGTACATTCAAACGGCGGCCACCCAGCCGACCGCTTAAAATGTTAGTGCTATTGCGGTTTTTGGAGGTGTGAACAGAGGTTACTGGGGCTAACAAGTGGCACACTCCACATATGGGTGGTCTGGTGTTCAGTGATTTGTTCGGTTGTCGAGCAGAATACTATTAAGATGAGAGGTGAATGCAATTTACTGAACAACCATGTGAACATGTGAAGAGCTGGATAATCCAGGGACACTGGGATCTGTCACACACACGCAATATAAGTACAACCATACGAAATAACAGGGGGAATGATACAGACAGCCCATAGAAGGAATAAAGTGTAATGTCCAAAAGTTCATTCCACTACACAGGTTAATAAATGAACACCAATTCTCACTTCTGAAGAAGTAAAGCAGGAAAGAGAATAAAAATAATTAGAATACACAGTTTTGTTTTTGTTTGTTAATGTTGTTGGTTTGTTTAAATACTGTTTGGGTAAGTGAATTCTCCACAGACACGGTCACTGCTTGTTCCCCAGTTTATCCCTGGTGGATCCTTATGGTTTGATCAAAGTGCTGTGTATCTGATCACACAATGTGTGTCTGTCAGTGTGCTCCTTTTGGCACTGCTGAGCAGAGATCACACTCTCACACATTTGCTCACTGGGTTAGGAATCTCCCAGCACCCCTCCCTCTGGCTGTGCTGCAATTTAATGTGAATGAGAGGAGGAGGCGAGTGCAGGCTGGTTTATTGTGCTGTAACCAAAGCATAGACACAGCAGCACTCAGAGCTGGGAACATGCAGTCTACAGGAGGCTGAGTGGGGCTTCCATAACTGAGCGGAGGGTTTTGACAGTGGAGAGGACAATTCTATAACAGTAGAGTGGAGGATTCCACAACACTGGAGTGAAAGATTCTATACAGTAGAGTGGAGCCTTCTATGACAGTGGAGAGGACACTTCCATTATATTGGAGTAGAGGCTACTGTGTGAGCTGCCTGGTTGGTTGAAATAACCTTTCTCCTGCATGGTAAGTTTATGGTGGCAGTAATGGGGTAGGATGTTAAAAGTGCTTTAATCTAGAGGATTGATGAGTCCTGGGTCTGGCTATTACAGGGTTAAACATGTGGACACCTGCTGTAATCTTACTGACTTTTGTTAGATATTTTTTCTCTCTCTATGTACATCACATGGAATACCCCTACACATGCTTTGTCATGCAGTGTTACTGTGCAATGTGCAGAAATCCCATTATTTTGTGTGTGTGTTTTTATAATATGTCTGTTTTAAAGAGCTTGCAAGCTAGTGACCCATTACTTATTGGACCAGCCTTCCCCGAGCTGAGAAATTATGGTGAATTTGGTGATTATCATTATTATACTTTATTACTTTATCATTATTATACTTTATTGTTATTATTTATAGAGCACCGTCAAATTCCGCAGCGCTTTACAATGGGTGGACGAACAGACATGTAGTTGTAACCAGACAAGTTGGACACACAGGAACAGAGGGATTGAGGGCCCTGCTCAATGAGCTTACATGCTAGAGGGAGTGAGGTAAAGTGACACAAAGGTAGGGATAGTATTAGACTAGCGACAGTTGTAGAAGAGGAATCAGTCAGGAGCTATTAACAGTTTAATTGATACGCTTTTATGAAGAAGTGGGTTTTTAACGATTTTTTGAAGGAGTGGAGACTGGGTGAGCATCTAAAGGAGGAGGGAAGTGAGTTCCACAGGAACGGTGCAGCCCTCGAGAAATCTTGAAGGTGAGCATCAGAGGTGGGAGTACGGACAGAAGATAGACGTAAGTCTTCAGCAGATCGTAAGGGCCTAGACGGGACATACTTGTGTATAAGGGAGGATAGATAGGTGGGAGCAGCATTATGTAGAGATTTGAAAGCAAGAACCAGCATTTTAAATTGAGCTCTATATTTTATAGGTAGCCAATGTAGGGACTGACAGAAGGGTGAGGCATGGGAGGTGCGGGCGGACAGGAAGATTAGCCTCGCCCCCGCATTCATTAATGACTGTAACGGCGCAAGTTGGGAGTACGTAAGACCACTGAGAAGCGGATTACAGTAGTCAAGGGAAGAAAGGACAGTGGAATGGACCAACACCTTAGTCGTATCTGGCGTTAAGTAGGGTCGGATGCGTGCAATTTTTTTGAGATGGAAGTTACTTTATAACTTTCACTCGTGTGCTTATTGATGTGACAATTCTGCAGTTCCAAGATGTTCTGCAGCAGCTGTGATCTCATGTTTTACATGACACCTCCATTCTTTCTTGTGTCACATTGCCAGCAATATGTATACATCTCTCCTGAAATTGTATTGAGTGACCAATTGATTTGACAGTTATAGTGCCCCTAGTGGTAACTGGTATGTTAGCGCAATGAGATTTGTTTACAGAAGTGCCATGAAAGTGATGTTTTCCATTTTGATAGATTTTTTTTCATGCAGTATTTCATTTGGAGAACTAACCACTGAGCTGCATTTATCCTGATAAAAGTGCCCATGTTGACAATTGCCCACTGGTCTCATTCCCTGCCCAGGACAATAAATGAAGAGTCTGTGTGTGCCCACCCACTGCGTGCCATTCTAGACTAACTGGGTTCATTCATTAAACGAATGACATCAGGAGTGGGAGTGGGCGGTAATTACTGTCACTGTGCCCTCGTGTTACTTGGTAATGATGGAGCAAGTCGTTCGTTTATTTGTTTGGTTTTTCCAAAAGGATCTATATTAACACAAAGTTAACCCCAAAGTGCAAAATTCACAAACTGGGGGTTTATTAACGTCCTAGCCTTGGGGGTGATTACGGTAAATGGCCAGCTTCCCACTCAGATAAATTTATGTAGAACAAACTGGTCACTGGTATAAATAAAAGAGCCATTAAATAAATAATTTAGGTAATCATCACTCACCATATGAAACACACTGTGATCTGTCAATGTTTAATGGCAAACAGGCACTAAGTAACAAAGTATAACAATATAACCCTTAGTCTGATTAACTCACTTTTATTGGAGATTAATACACACATGTCTCATGGTTCCATTGGAGATTAATCTGCTAATTCTAATTAGAAAATAAAACACAGGAGAGAGGGTTCACTCACGATTATGGATAGATAGATAGATAGATAGATAGATACAGAGAGAGATAGATAGATAGATAGATACAGAGAGAGATAGATAGATAGATAGATAGATAGATAGATAGATACAGAGAGAGATAGATAGACAGACAGATTGAACGCAATGTACTTGTTAAGCACCATCTGTGCTGCGGCTCATTAAAGTGGTTATGGTGCTACGCTCACATTTGGTTCATTGTTCTGAAAGAGGTTTACTAAACCCTGGGCTCATTCCCAGCTTCTCGACTCTCCTGAAACCAATTCAATAATGTGGAAGATTCACTTTACAGAACCATCCAACATTCCACAGCAGAAACAGGCTGGGAGTGATGGGATAACCTGATCCCCAGCGCTTATAGCCTGATATTTCCATCCAAGGATGGACAGTTTTAGATAAATAACACGTATGTGAATACTCAGCATTATACAAGCAGCTGCTGAAAGTGTTATTAGATCTTTCCACGGTGGGCCCCCAAAGACACACAGAACCATAACCACTACAATTAGCAGTGAGTGTCCCTTTAAGTACAACGCATTATCTACCTGTTTGTCTTATTTACTAGAAATAAACTTTATGAAGGGAATAACACATTCTCCTTGCAAAAGAAAAAAAAAAACACATTTTGTTTAATTTAGCCATGGCTGTCCTTAATTTAAAAATGATTTTCCTTTAAATGCTCATCACAGAATATTCATTGTTATTTTCGTATTCGTTCCGTTATATACAGATGGTTTCTTGATGAACAATGAGTTGTTACATCCAATTTCAATGAAACACATTAAGATTTGTTTGTGTATTGTAAATATTATCAATTTGTATTACGCCAACATTTGTTAAGGGTTTGTATTTACCTAAATAAATACACAAAATAACATAAACTGAATTTCAAAGATAAGGGACACATCTGTTCATTGAAACACTATTAAAACGAGGAAGTCAGAACTTAATTCATTTTTCCCTAAATAAATGGCTTAATTCCCTTGCTCTGTAATTATCAAGTCATAGCTTTATTCTTACAGAATGACAATAAAAAAATGTTCGATAAACAGAATTATAATGCGTGTTCGTTGTGACTTATATCATGCCTCTAAACTGTTTGTAATGTTTACGGTGCTCAAGCATGGCACTGACTTGTTCTTTCCATACTTGCTGCCGAATCCATATAATAAACTCCGTAATTAAGCTCATTATTATTATTATTATTATCGCCATTTATATAGCGCCAACAGATTCCGTAGCGCTTTACAATATTATGAGAGGGGGGATTTAACTATAAATAGGACAATTACAAGAAAACTTACAGGAACGCTAGGTTGAGGAGGACCCTGCTCAAACAAGCTTACAGTCTATAGGAGGTGGGGTATAAAACACAATAGGACAGGATTGTCAGCTTGGACCATGCTGAGTTGATGTTTCACATCGAAAAGCATCTTGAAACATGTTTCTATGAACATGAATTGAATTTATTGCAGCTGAAGTTTATGGATGTCCCAGAGGGCTTAGCTCCTCAAAACTCAGCAGTGTTGCCTATGCACTGAGACAGTATTTCATTTGATAATATAAGCTATATCTGATGAATTTTGCTGTCGTTTAGTCTCAATACCCTATCTCTTTAAGTGAGGAGAGTTGAACCCAGTAGACTTTAATTAAGTTTTGTTTTTTTTTGCTGCAGAGTCCCAGAATCCAGATAATTGTTTCGCAATAAAATATTTTTTTCCTGCGAACGAACTTTATTAAAATTTCCATAGTTGATCAATTTTCTAAAATAGCAGAAAATGAAAAATGTAAAAAAAAAATAATAATAATTTATGGCAATTGTTAAACAAAATAAAAAATTAAAATTCAAAACTCATCACATGCTAAAGAAAGTAATCTGTAATCCTCTAACTATTGGGAAATTTAACTCCCAAGGTCAATTGACAACCATAGAAGTTTCTCACAATAAACCCCCCGGTCACTTCCCTGTTGATAGCTTAAGAGGAATTTCCCAATTTTGAATAAGCAACTAATCTACCCAGTGAATTGGGTTCAGTTTCCAGCTTAGGTAATGCAGGTGTATTGACCCAGCATTCAAAAATTTGCTTCATAAATGAACGAGTATCTTTCAAGGAAAACATTTGTTAAAGGATCACGATAGTGTCAGGAAAACAAATCGGTTTTCCTGACACTATAGTACCCTCAGGGTGCCCCCACCTTCAGGGTCCCCCTCCCGTGGTGCTTCAGTTACTCACCTTCTTCCACCGCCGTGCTCCCCTACCTCTCCTCCCCCGCCGACATCACTGGAGCAGAATGCGCATGCACGGCAGTGCAGCGCGCGCATTCAAAGTGTTCATAGGAAAGCATTTTTCAATGCTTTCCTATGGACGCTCTGCGTGATGAAGGCATAATATGCCTCCAGCGTCACAGATGCGCCTCTAGTGGCTACTAGAGGCTGTCTTAACCCCAAATGTCTTAACCCCAAATGTAAACATAGCAGTTTCTCTGAAACTGCTATGTTTACAGTAGGCAGGGTTAACCCTAGAGGGACCTGGCACCCAGACCACTTCATTGAGCTGAAGTGGTCTGGGTGACTATAGTGTCCCTTTAAACTTCCTCATACTTCAACTATTAAACATTATGTGAGGATCCTTCATTTTATAGATCTTTCTAACTCCTTCATTAGTGAGTTTGTTATAAAATATATGTTCATTTTAATAACTTTCGGAACACATTCATGGTTCTCAAAGGAGCAGATTAGAGACTGATTCCTCTTGGGTGGTAGATCGTCTGAGTTCCTTACATAGAATTAGTAAATACACAGAAAATAACAGAAAAAAACTTAAGGAGATACCTGCAAATATAAACCATATTAAAAGATAGCTTTTGGGTTTGTTTTTTCATTAATTTAATTAAAGCTTTTTAAATCGCTCAAATCCTGCAATAAATCTTACAGGTTCAGAAAAAGGAACATAAATAGGTAAATGATTGAAGCGAAAGTTGTGAGGTTCTCCGACAGTACCGAAAAAAGGCAGTAATGCAATCACAGACCAGGAACACTAAAGCATTAGACATGCAAACCTGCAGAAATGTTTTACTTACCTCTCTGCCTCCTGCGACATCATGGATTTATGGCTACACTGGCGCAGGTGCCCTTCCCAAAATATGAATCTTCACCTATCTTTCTTTTAACCCACCTTTTGCATTTCTTTCCCCTTTTATTGTATCTTACCCCCATTTTTAAAATGTTTGTGTTTTACACTCCCCTTTGTGTGTCTCGTTCCCCCCACAGTCCCTGTTTGTGTCTCTTTCTCCCCCAACTTCTTTGTGTGTCTTCCCCCAGCCCCCTTGTTTGTTTCTTTCTCCCTCCCCCAACTTATTTTGTGTCTTTCTCCCCCTTCCCAACCTCTTTGTGTCTCTATCTTCTCCCCCCCGCCCCCCCCAGCTCCTGCATGTGGCTTTCTCCGTGAGATCATCTCATTCTACCCCCCACCCTCCTTATGTTTGTACCGGCCCTACCTTCCTCCACCATGGTCCAATTCTGATGGGCATGCTCAGCAAGTGCTGCACTGATCCAAGCTTATACACAGGAAAGCATTCGATTCAAAGGATGAGCAAACATGCTTTACACTTTTCATGCTTATTCGTCCTTGATAATAGAGTGATATTAGGGCAAATAAAGCCATTTTAGAACAGTTTGACCTCTTACATGGGTTCACCAAGCGCTGCTCCCCACCTACTCTACATCCCCTCTTGCTTAGGAGCTTCCTTATCTGTGCTGGGCTAATAACTGCAGTCTAGGACATATTGTAAGAACTTTAATTATTACATGTGTGCACTATTCACAATTGTATTATAGTACCTTCATAAGTCATCACAAATTTTAATTGTCTTAAAGACACAGGGCACCCTTTTTAAAATGTTATTTCTAGAACTTTGGCTAAGAGCATCATCTGATCACTCCCTGCAACTCCAGTCTCATCTCACTGAGCAGTGGTAGAGCCAGGGAGTGCCAGCCAATCAACTCTAAAAAAGGGGTGACAGAGCCAGTCTGTCTGGTGAGAGACCTGTTAGAGAGGTTTGTGTCATGTGATATTCTTGTGAGACTTCACGTTTTGAATTCTAGGTATAAAGCATCCAAAAATGCTTTCAAATTATAAGTTATGTATGTAATAATAATGTCTACATATTGTAAAAACAGTTGCCTGGTTACAAGCAAGCTTTTGTTGCAACCTGCACAAAAACCCTGCAATGTGCCTGGAGCCCTTTTTTTTAACTGCTGCCTTGTAACTCTTTCAATATCGTTCCTTGAATGCACCAGGTGAGGGGTATGTCATTCAGAGTGTCTCTGTGAGAGGGACTCCCCGAAACTCAGTTATTTAGAATTAGTTGAAGATTACTACTGGAGCAGAAGGGAAGTAACATTAGTTTTAATTTTAACAAAATTAATTTTGCATTAAAAGTAAAAAGGGGTAACCTTTTTTCAGGCATGCTTCCTCAATATCAGTCTTTTAGTCAAATTCTTCTAATACTAAACATCTATTTAATAAATATTATTCATGTAGACATTTCCTATACAATTATATTAATGTCTAAATTTAAATTGCCACAGAAGCGGCACTGTTTGTATGATATGCACCCACTGAATGTATGTACTACGTGTTGAAACAACTGTTTCCTACATTGTATAACTTGTAAAGATTTTTACGGTGTAATTCCTGGAATTATCTTCTGTAAAACAGTCAAAATTAAGTTTCACTCTATAAAGAGTTTTGTAGGAAAGAAATTTTACTGTAAACCACTGCATAAAATTCTGGAAATTTTTTGTCGTCAGTATTAGAAACATTTATATATATATTTATTTTTAATTTTAATGACAAATTAATAGTTTTCAGCTACAGATGGCTGTCTGCAGAGGGTTAAATGGTTGAAATATCAGTTTATTGTAAACCAATGTTAAACAATCCAAGAGCAATGAATGGAAAGAGAGACGGCATTGTTATTCTAAGAAATCCGCTGATCAGCTTGAAAATGAAAACATTCGTTTCAGTTTAGTAAATATCCTCCATGGGGAAAATCTGTGATTATAAGAGGGGTCAGCTGCTTAGTGACACAAAAAAACAGGACTGTCTTAGGAAATCTATGGCAGTTGTCACATATGCCTCCAGAATTTGATGTAATCTCCAAATTGATCTCTCTAGCATCCAAATACTGTATAGTGTTATATTGTCACAGATGACCAATTGGTGCTATGCGATATGTGTGGTTTAATCTAGTGTGCAAGGTTTAGTTTAGACTGCGTGACCTCCCAATAGGAGTTATCACAGGAAGTCATATATAAGTTGGGGGATAATGTATGGAAAACATGTAAATAACTACTGTCACGCAGTGATGTAAGCACAGATCTAAGGGGTGTATAAATTGGGAAGGTCGGAACAGTTTAAGCATTTAGTTCTTTGAGAGCTTAAGAGGTAGTGCCTTATCTTACAGTTCATACGGACACTTAGCACACAGAAAGAGGTATGTACGTGAATGTGTGTGATTATAATTGTGAACATATATAGCTACAAAAAAAATAGTCAAATTGTTATATAGTGTAATAATGTATTACAATGTATATGTATGATGGTATATACGTACGTAATGCACATTTATATGCGTGTTGATATTTACATATTAATGATTATATTTAAAAATTTTATTACATACATGTTGGTATGTTGTGGGGAATGTATCTATGATGTATGCGTGGCCATATATGTAGGAATTTCTATACAGCAGTGATATGATACAGAAATGCTGTTACAGATCATTGTATTAGGCCACGTTCAGCCTTGGGAACCATGTTTCAGCCCGGTGTAAAGTGCAGTGTGTGCGCATGCACGTGCAATATATGTGATGTTGTGCGACACTGTAAAAAGGTAAAACAGCGAGTCAGGTGAGCAGGCAGGTAGAGGTACATTGTAAACGATCAGGGAAGGAGTCTGCCCGTCAGCAGATAATGGGAGTTTGTTCAGTTTGTAGAATTGTTAGTTTTTATGTTGCTTTGATTTACCGGCTCATTCTGCCTCTATTTGTGTGCTGTAAAAAAAATGCATATTGTGAGATCATATATAATGCAGACACGAAGGTGAACGTAATACTAAAGGAATTTATAAATATGATTATTACATCTCTTCTTTCAGAGTACATGCCCTGACTATCACTAATTCATAGCCCCTTTCAACTTCTGTCTCTACTGGCGTGTCTCTGGCCCTTTCATCAATACTTCTCACTCGCTGATTGTCCTCCAAATCTCTTCTTCTCTATCAATCAATTTTTCTTTATCTCACTCCCCTCTCTCTATCTCTACATCTGTGCCACTCTCTCTGTCCCTTTCTCCATCATACCATTTTCTAACTCACAATGTCTCTCACTCCTGGTTACCAATCTGTCTCCATTCATTTCTCCCCATGTCTATCCCCCTCATAAAACTTATTTTCTCTCCATTGCTACTATAAGTTTCTTTTTCTCTATTTCTACCATTCGTTTCTTTCTCTCCATTTCTAACGCTATCGTAAACTCCTATTTTGTGTCTCCCAATCTCTACCTGTCCTCCTCTTTCATTCTGTTTGTGCCCATCTCTAATTCTCTCCATCGCTCCTTTTCCATGTCCATCATTTTCTCCCTCGTTTCTTTCCCATTGTGACCAACCAATATCCCTCAATTGTTCTCGTTCTCAAGCTATTTATTCCATTTCTCCCTCTTACTCCAAAATGCACATCTAAAACCCCACTGTCCTCCTGTCTTCTTAACTTTAACCCACTCTCTCCCTCTCCATTTTATCTCTCTACCCTTCTCTCACCCTTTTCCATACACCCCCTTTTATCAGCAATTTACTCTTCTGTAATATCAATTATTCTGTTATTTATCACTATTTAGTTTTCCTAATCATTAATATTAAAATAGATTTTGCAGTAACATGAGGATCCTTTAGACCTTGTTTAAAGGACGCACCCACGATGTGTTCTTAGGATCACTGGGATAAAATGTCACCAAAGGCAAAGCAATGCATAGAATTTTATTTAGCGCCGTATCTATTACAGGTGGAATCAGGTACAGAATTACCTAGCAAGGAAGTAGAAAAAAACAAAACATTGTTGAAATGAAAGAAGCTTTTTAATTCTATTGCTTCACTTTCCGACTGCAATGACATTCGAGCGAGTAGCTCGGAAAGATTTGTAAACGAAAGTTTGCATTTGTAAAACCTCGGTAAGCACTCAGTATAACTGGAACTGTTCCCAGATCCTGCACACTGAGAATGCTGAGTGATACACTGTCTACTTGCAATCAGGGTATGCAGTATCCCCAATGGAATTATGGAACATTTAAACTCGTTGTTTGAGGCGTCCAGAAACCAGTCTAATGGTTTCTCAGTATGGCTATTAAGCCGGGATAATTCATGATTCACTATTACGGAATGTGTTCTGGGATTAGCTGCTGCTGTATGTGCAGTCACTGGATTGTAGTGTCGTATTTAAAAAAGATTACTCACTACAAACATTGAAATTAAACACATAAACAAGCATGCGGTATTATATCTTTAGCTGTTGCTACGTGTTCTGCAAATACATGTTCTATTTTAACTGCTGTATGCTTTCTTTCAAGTAACACGCAAACGTAAAAACGTAATATGTTTATTTTCGATGTTAGAATGTCCCTTGTTCTATTTAATTTACTGCTCCCCTCCCTCCCTTACCTTTTAAATGAAGAAAAAATAAATTAAACTTACCTGTTATCCAGTGTATCTCAGAGAGAAACATTGGGGGCATAGCGGACAATGTGCAGTAATCGCCAAGAAGCGCCGATCTAATGCTCCTCATAAAGCATGTTGTGTTGTTAATGAACATGAAGGTTCAAGGCAAATTGAAGTTCTAAAGTGTATCAATTGAACTGTTAATAGCTCCTGACTGATTCCTCTTCTGCAACTGTCACTAGTCTAATACTATCCTTTCCTTTTTGTGTCATTTTATCCCACTCCCTCTAGCATGTAAGCTTATTGAGCAGGGAATTTGATGGCGCTATAATAAATAATAACATAATAATAATAATAATAATAATAAAGTGCCTCTAGTGGCTCTCAGTTTGATGAAGATCAGCAACATTTCAGCTCCATTATCAAGCTATCAATATAACAAAACACAACCATATTCATAGAGTAGAATTGTTTGCCAGTAGGACGTGTCAGTATTTAAACAGATCAGATAATCAGTATTTTCAGAGCTTCATAAGGCCACATATTTGGTGACTGCATAGCAGGTGTATTAATCACAGAAAATGCAGCATTTCGTAATGTTTTACAGGGTACAGTTTCAAAACTAGTCACAGCATATATGAACTGTATTCGCAAAGAGGAACGGAATTTGTTTTCATGATGGTTTCTAAATAAAATAAACACTATTTGGCGTATGGAAAATTACAAAGAATTTTCTTCATTTCGCAACAGCTATCTGTTACTGCAGGTATTTTAGTATATAACAACCAAGAGAAATAAGTGAGGTGTGATGTACGATGCACACCACCCCCAACCTACCTGTCAATCTTCATTGCCCACCTTCTGGGTTTAGGTGGACAGGGATGAGAGCAGGCTGCATAGTGCTCAGTGAAATGGGCAGAGCAACCCCTATAGAGAGTGCATAGGTGATTGACAGAACGCCCCATCAATTGGCAAAAAAATTAAAGTAAATTCAAAGTAATTCTCAACATTTAAGTCACAATAGCTGAATTAGAAAAAGTCTACAAGTCAGTTCTATTTTAAGTTTTGCCGTTTTGTCCTTAAATTTATGTTGAATTCGCTTTGAATTCCTGGCAATTCTCACTTTAATGAATAGCACTGACAAATTCTTTGATATCTCTCAAATATCTGGACTGGAATGGCCGCATTCTGAGATAGATTTAAGGTGGGGTGGGGAGGGTGAAGTCTATCCAATAAAGAACAAGTTGCAATTATTTGACAACCAGACACAGAAGATGAAGTCACGATGTGAAATTAAGGATGGGGGTTGTAGTGTTACACATTTCTAAAAAGTAAGAAATCATTCACTACTCTAGTCTAAACTTTGCATCTACGCGTCACACCACTGTTTATTAAATAGATGATCCCAATGTATCGCACGTATTCCCTTTGTACTAATTATCCCTCTTTTTAACCAAGGAGATACATGTGTGTCTATCAGCTGTACTACGTAACTGTTTCTGCAGGTTCATCTCTACCATTTACTATTGTGACATCGATAAATATATCAGGGATTAACATTTCAAGTCCTACTCTGTTAGACATACCTTAACGTTACTCCACATCACAATCTTAGAGGGTCCGTGACGCACTCACCAGGGAGCTAATGGGCAAGTGAAAATTGATTACCATTAGAGATGATATATAATCTTTATCTCTAATATATGGCCAGTTCTAAGGGTATAAGCCAAACCATATGTTTGAAACCGCTTAGGAAAAAAGCTCTGTATTTTAAAATGGAGTGTTATTTTTGTCATATTGTATAGTGAGTGCTATCATGTTTCCTTTAACCCATTGCCTTTTGCAACAATTATTATTAGCATCTTCACTGATCAATGACTTGCTTGGTGAGTTTAATAAAAAACATCAGTGTACCACTTCCAAACTAAATAATTCAGACGTGGCTTTTCGTTTTCTCATAAATTATGAGAATTGAAAATGTATATTTCTTTAGTAATTGTTCTGTGCAGATGTAGTTTCCCCTAGAAAGTACATTAGCCAAGTATGCCAACAGGTAAAGCAAAGAGAATTAACCAGACCTGTTATTTTATTCGGCAACAACATGTAAATGTTTAGACCGTTACTATTACTACAGCTATGACAACAAAGCCTCTCAATCAGTACACTCTTCACGGGCCACATCAGTAAATAATATAATTAATCGGCACCGAGTGGTGGAAATTTCAACAGAATTTCAGAAATAATTGTGTAACAGTAGTAGATTACTTTCCCGATAAAATGTTTTGGTCAAAGGGCAGATGATTTAATTCCGGCGCCCCCTCCCTTTTTACCATGTCGTGCTGTTAATAGTTCAATACAATTATAGAGGGAAAATGTAAAAAATATTTGTGTCCCTTCTCTACCCTTGAGGCTGTGCTCCCCTGTCTCTGGACACCCAAGATTTATTTTCAGCACTGACTTTTGTAAGAATCTAAAATGCCAGGTGGGTAGAATATGGTATTTGTCTCTGAAAATAATTTTTTGTTTCATGAAAAAAATCTGAAGATTCACAATACGACTTCTGATATTCCTGAGACCTTGTTTTATAGTGTAATATTCCCATGTTTGTAGGCGCTACAAAGAATTGGCACATACACAATCCAACTACTTTTTAGCTACATTTACTACAAACTCTGAACTCTCCCATCCCTGACATAGTTCACCTAGCAGGACTCTGTGAACCCAACAACCTACACAATAAATTCGCTTTTATCTCTTAACCTCGATAAACCCAACAACCTACACTATAAATTCACTGTTGCCACTCAACCTTGATAAGCCAACAGCCTACGCTATGAATTCACTTTTACCACTCTTTAAATTCACTGTTACTACTCACCCTCGATAAGCCAACAATCTATACTTTAAATTCACTGTTACCACTCACCCTCGATAAGTCAACAATCTATACTTTAAATTCACTGTTACCACTCACCCTCGATAATTCCAACAGCCTATGCTATGAATTCACTGTTACCACTAATCCTTGATTAGCCCAACAGCCTACGCTATGAATTCACTGTTATCACTAATCCTCGATAAGCCCAACAGCCTACGCTATGAATTCACTGTTACCACTAATCCTCGATAAGCCCAACAGCCTACTCTATGAATTCACTTTTACCACTCAGCCTTGATAATTCCCAACAGCCTACGCTATAATTTCATGGTTAACACTTTTTTAAAACCATTCTGACTCCTGGGTGACTAACATTTTATTGCTTTATAACCTTTTTGCGTCCCAAAATCTAGTTAAACTTATAATGCACCAACTATTCTACAGTGTAAACATCATAATACGCCTACCATGGTAAAATGCATGAGATCTGTTGCAAATTGCTCCAGTTATACATAACGACTTGAGACAGGTAAGGAGGAAAGTCTTTGTACTGTAACCTATTCAAGCAGCCACGGTGTTTGTGAGTACAGTGGGTTTGTAGGTTGCCCCGGGACATCCTGATATAGACTTGATTTGATCTCATCTCGACCATTAGAGCCATTGCCGTTACTTTTGGATCTATCTTCAATGCTTATTGTGTGAAAATAAAAGACCATGGAAAATGATTGTGTGACTGAATCTTGAGAAAGCACTACACACGTGCCAGTTAATGGATATGCATGATATTAACAGGTGCCCAGTGACAGCTGGCTATGGAACAAGAACCTATGAGCTTTCTTTTGGTCCTTATGATTAATATTATCGCCATTTATATAGCAGCAACAGATTCCGTAGCGCTTTACAATATTATTAGAGAGGGGATTTAACTATAAATAAGAAAATTACAAGAATACTTACAGGAACGATAGGTTGAAGAGGACCCTGCCCAAACAAGCTTACAGTCTATAGGAGGTGGGGTGTAAAACACTTTAGGACAGGAAATAGCAATCAAATTAGGTGGGAGTGAAGGAGAGCTGGAGGAGAGAGTAGAGTGCTGCCCTTTAGGAGAGAGCAAGAGACAGGTATGTGAAGTAGAGGTTAGTCTGGGAGGCCATAGGCTT